CACAGGATCGGTCGCCGCATGCGATATCACTTTCGCAATTGACTCTATGATTCCAATTGGTCGGTGACAGGTTCCCGATTCCCCCTTGCCCCCCCTTTTCCCCCCTTTCCACCCGACGGAGAACACTGGAAAACAAGAGGGACCCCCTTTTGAGCTTCTTTCGGTAGGTGTGTGCAGACAACCCCCCCCCCCCTTTTCCCCCCTTTCCCAAACCCCAATTAGTTTCCATTGTTTGTCCGCATGTACCGCCGTTCTTCGCCCTCGCTACCGTCTTCACACGAATACAACGTACGTTCATTATACCTGCATCTAGACTCGATGTTGCCTCAAATACGGTTATAATAACGGTGCGTTGTTGTATTCGGGTCAAGACGGTAGCACACCCTGCTTTTCCTATCCCTTCTCGTAGGTACTCTGTTCCCCTCCCTCGTGTTGTCTTCCCCCGAACAGAACGCATGGGGCCTGCTTTCCCTTGGAAGGCGACCACCTGAAACTCCACGGTGCGAGTCACGACAAAAATGGCCTAAGCACTGAACCCCATAATAATTGCCTCCTTAATTGTGTCCCATCAAGAATGTCCCCATTAACAGTCCAGGGGTCATGATATATGATATGATATGCTTCTTGTCCTCTTGATGACGACACCGATTTCAGCCTTTCCTTTTTTGAGTGTACTGACTTTGGCTGCAGAAACGCTCGCCCATTTTCAAATGCAAAGGTAAGTGTCACGCGCTGTGATGATGGCAGATTTTTGGGTATAATGGCGACAGGTCGACGATTGAGAGGGGCATATATTAAACGTGTCAGTGATGGAGATGAGAAAGACGACAAAGATGAGAAGAGAATGAGGAAGGATTTGCATGCAGAACTGCAATAATATAGTACGATGGTGGGTATGATCGTGGCAGAGGGGTATGCTTGGGGATTTTTTCAAAGATCGCACAGCTGCATCCCCTGTCATGGTTTGTCAATCACGCGTTTTTTGTCAGAGTTGTTGGCGGAATGAATGTATTAAGTCGGCGCAGGCTTTAGCGTAAAGAAAGAGAGAAAGACATGTCGTTAATGTGAAAGGTCGTTCGCGTGACACTGGCCAGTTTTCCACTCTGATGGGTAGAGAGGAAGGTAGGTGGGCGTTCGCGTGGACCCGTGCTCGTCCTCCTTCTTGGTTGCTTGACAGTTTGTTGGGGGCTGAGGGGCATTGATTTGATAGCTAGTTTTTTTTTTTCCGCCCCTCGTTCCAGCTTTTTGTCCTGCTTTGCCCGCCTATCTCTCGCAGTCTGCTATTCTTAGCAGTTCGTCCACATGGTATGCGCAAAAAAAATAAAAAAATAAAATAACATAAATAAAATAAAAAATAAAAATAAAAATAAAAATAAAATTCGCGCTCGTGACGGCGCGGTTCGGGCCTCGAACCGAGACGCTGTGGCGAGTTCGTTACGCTCCTTCGCCCTATCAAACAACACCCCCCCCCGAGAAAAACCTCCCGCCTACAAGCTGTTTCCTTCGATCCTTAGTTTGTCTCTGAGAAAGAGATGGTTTTTTGTTTCTTTTTTTTCTTCTTTTTTTTTTTTTTGAAGTTTTTTTCTTTCGATTGGTAGCTGGTGCGGTGTTGTCGTTCAGTATTGACCCAGTCCTCAAGTCACGACGCGGCGCCCATAGCCCCTGTCCCATTCCCCCCCCCCCCCCCCCCTGCGCCCCACTTTCTCTTGTGATGCATTTTGTTTATGTCTGCGCAAGCTGTTTCCTTTGGCCCTCAGTTTGCTTTGTTTGAAGGGAAAGGGCTGGTTTTCTCTCTGGGTGAAAACGGTTGCCTCGTTGTCATTCAAATACGTACACGTCAGCCTCGCTTTAGTGAAACGACCAATGAATCGGTGTCGATGTTCCCCCATCCTCTCCTTGTCAGATGCATATCAGTTAAAGTGGTTTTCGTTAAGATTTAGTCTGATGCTATCGCGGAAATTTGTCCCCCCACTCGAACCAAATCTTATATCCGAGGTGGCCGCGGAAGGTACATCATCAGTTTGTCAACGACATTCTCAGTCAACAAACAAGTCGATCAATCAATTGATTGATCAGTCTATCTATCAATCAACTGATTGATCAGTCGATCAATCAATTGATTGGTCAGCCTATCTATCAATCAACTGATTAGTCGTCCGATCAATTGATCAGGTAACGAAACATTTGATTAGTCGAAAAAAACATTGATCAGGAGAGCAATCAGTTGATCAGGAGAGCAATCAATTGTTGATTGATCAGTAAGTCAATCACCTTGATTAGTCAACCAATCGATTGCTCAGTTCGATCAATCAAATACGACCAGCTCGGTCAATCAAATACGACCAGCCTCACGATTTGTTCATTATTTGGGATTTGAAATCATTCGATCGGTAGGTTAAATTAACACCTGCTTCTCGATTTGTTCATTATTTGGGATTTGAAGTCGGATTTCACATCAGATGATTCGTAGGTAGACCAGCCAAGTCGATGCCCACCCACTTTTCGATTTGTTCATCAACTCTCGTTCTAGCCTGGGAAGCGGCGATTGGCTTTGATGTTAATGGATTTTTGCCCTTTCTTTGGCTGGAATGCATTGGCCGAGTATGATGTCAACATGGCGAGGCAAACCGAGAGAGAGAGAGAGAGAGAGAGAGAGAGAGAGAGAGAGAGAGAGAGAGATTTCCGATAAGTGCAAGCCGGGGGGAATACTAAGAGATTGTCTGGGAAGAACAAATGCCTAGGGTAAGGGACACATCGATGGCGTTTTTTTTTCTAGTGGACGTGCTGGATAGCTAGAGTGTGGATTTGCTTTTCGTATTTGAATCTTTTTGTGTTCTGTTGTACTCTGAACTTGTTTGTTTTATCTTTTTTTGTTTTCTTGTGACGTCTATTGCTTTGATGTTTTCTAATATTTCTTTCTATCGTTACAAGGATTTTAAATAGTGAAAGTGCCTAGTCCGTAGTAGACCGTTGTGATCCAACTTGCTCGGTGGTGTTAAAGAAAGAAAGAAAGAAGAAATCGTTAATGTTGTTGCCACATAGTATATCTACTATGTATGATAGTGTGGCGTGCTTGGTAGACAGTATTGCTAGTAGCAGGAGAGGAAGGGAAACAGAAACAGAAAGTTGCACCCTTATCTTTTTTTTTTTCTCTCTTGCAGATGCGCTGTCGAACAGTACTTTCCTTACGCGCTTTCTCGAGTGAATCTGGTTGCCCTTGTGTTCAGATTCATCTCTTACAGACTTTCTCGAGTGAATCTGGTTGCCCTTGTGTTCTCCTAGTATGAATTGGCCCTTAGTTCGTTGCTCTCTTTGTCAACTTGCCTGTATGTATGTATGTATGTATGTATGTATGTATGTATGTATGTATTGAATAGTGGTGTCCCTGGTAGACAGTATTCATTTGACTTGCTGGTGGCCTTATTGTTGTTATATATGTATATGCAAGAGGTTCTGAACAGGGGGAGTTGTAAGGAAGAAGATTAAAAATGAAGTTAGTTTTTCTTGTTTCTGTTTTTTGCTTTGGCGCTCTGATATCATGTGACAATGTATATGTATGTATGTATGTAGAATGGCTCAGCTCTGGTCGTGGAGGAGGTTCATACGAAGACGTCCAGTGCCCAGGGGCCCCCGTTGATGGGGGGCCGGCGTCAAGGGACTCTAGACGGTAATGCATGCTCCCAAGCTTTTGACTCCTCACCTGGTCTCTTCCCCTCTCCCCCCCCCCCCCCCCCCCCCCCCCCCCCCCGGCCCCCCTTCCGAACCGTCTTCAGGATCAAGTGATTGATTGGCACATCACACCCTGACTGCACTCTCTGACGTGCTTTCTCGTTTTCTTTTTCTCTTGCGTTTTTTTTCCTGTGTCCGAGCACGGTGGGACTTGTCGTGGGTTCCGTGTGAGAACAGAAACAGAAAGTGCACCCTTGTTCTTGAATCTGGATGCTGTTCTTTTGTGTGAAGGGTGTACTGTTTGATTTATTTTGTTTTGTTTGTTTTTCAGATCTAGGGAGAACGGTGGAGCCCTCCTAACGTACAAGCAATTCATCGTCGATCTCGAGGATGATATCACACCTGAAGAAGCACAGCGAAGGTAGGTACTGGGTTCGTTGCTGTGGTATCTCTGATTGCAACCTCTCCGTTTTTGGTCTTTTATTTGCAAAGAGGCAGCCATGTTCATTAAGAGAAAGCAATCAAATTTCTTGTGTCGTCGATGTGGGGGGCAGATTGGCCATCGTACGCTCCAGAGGAAGTGGTTACTCTTTCAGATCGTAAATGGTGCAGCTTGACGTCCTATTGGGTCTCGTCTTGGTGTGGTGGAATTGGGATGGATGGGTGTTGTCTGCCATGCCTTGCGATCCTCCATTGTGAGAGACGCTGGCATGCACATTCGTAGAGTAATGTTATGCACTGGTAATGAACAGTGAGTTGGCCTTCGTTTGCCACCTGTGGAAGTTGATGGCCTTAGTTCAGTGGCTTATGCTTGTAGTCTGTGCCCTTTTCGGTCTTTTTCTGATAAAGAAACAATTGTGCTGTGCTTTGCGTCTTGTTGGAAACCGCAATCAAGAAGTGCTGAAGTAGAAATAGGAAGAAGGGAAAGGATGTCCCGTCCTACGGGACATCCGTTAAAATTGGAACGATACAGAGAGTGAAGAGTAGCAGGGCCCCTGTGCAAGGATGAAAAAAGACGAAGAAAAAAAGAAAAGGCAGGGAAAGGAGGAAGGGTGTTCGCTTGGGGCATGTATGAAACTTTTGACAGGTTGAGACTATGCTGTGTACATCTTTCTTTTTCTGTTCGCTTGGGGCCTCAGGAAGCCACTCGGTGCCCGCTAAAGTGTGAAAATTGCACGAGCTTCCTGTAGAACGTGGGAAGATACGATACACTCCCTGATCTCCGCGTGCAGTAAGTGACGGAGCGAGGACTTTGCTTGGTCTATTATGTGTTGATGTGCCTGATGTTTGGTTGTTGTCTGCTGCCTCTCTCGCCTGAAACAAACTCTGGTGATACAGGTATGAGGAATACAGGAAGGAATATTCGGAGACGGCGAAACGGTCGTTCTTTGAGAGTCACAGAGAGGAAGAATGGTGAGCAGACGCCCTCCTCTCTCAACCCCTTTATTTACTGAGGGCTTTCCAAATCTTAACTTGTTTATGGCTGGTTGCCCGGACACTTCCAGTTTGTCAAGGTCTCCCATGAATGGCAGCTTGCTTGGATGGACAAACAATGAGGTTGGCAGCTCGTCTCTAGCAGAGGTTTTTTTTTTTTTTTTTTTTACTTTTTCCCCTCCCCCCCCCGGGCCCCTCTCCTCCCTTTTGCCTTTCCTCTAGGAGTCCTTTTTACGAACTCTGATGCTCTTTTTCATTTTTTGTTTGGTTTTCTCCCGAGACTTCTCAGAAATTCTTCTCAGACCACCTCAAAAATTCTAATGAGACTCTTAAGAAATTGGCTGGCTGGCTGGCTGTTGGGAAGAAGTGCAGATATGTACGTGTTGTTGTTGCAGGAAACTTCAAGGCAAACTGAAGTTGAACAGAAAAACTAGCTGTGACTGTTTGTTTGTTTTCCCGATAATTGGCTGCCAGAGACAGGCTGGTGCACTTTGTAATCCTTGTTTAGACGCAAGGAAAAGAGAAATGATATATGATTGGCTTCACTGTGTCCATTCCATGTTGATGGCCTGCGTGCGTTGATGATGGACAACGTAGTTCGTCATACCTCCTGACCCTCTGCGGTGTGCAGGTTTATGGTCGACCCCCGACCCTCTGTTGTGCCCACATATGGTGTGACCAGACTACTTTCCTGTTTTTTTTTTCTCACCACCCCTAGGGGTAGCACGGGATGTCACCATCTTTGTTTTGGGAGAAGGATGGGGGGGCGGGGGGGGAGTGGTCCTTGCAGGGGTCGTATCTTTGCTATCCCACTGGTTGTCCCAGATGATGTTAATGTCACGTGGTAGATCACTAACGGTTAATAGGTGGTGTCGTTTTCAGTGAAATTTTCATCGAAACTGCCGTATTTCCCTGATTTTTTTTTATTTTATTTTTTTTTGTGTGTGTGTGATATGTATGTGCCTTAGCTCTTAGGGTTTATCTGTGTTCAGTTTCAACGTCTTTGGACCATTAACGAAAAAGTTGGAAAAAACAAGAAATCCAGAGAAAAATTTGGCGAACTCCGAAAGTTACTGCGAATAGGGTTTTATAGTGAGTTTGCGTTTTTTTTTTTTTTTTTTTGCTTTCGTTTTTTTTGGCCTGTTTGTTTTTTGGATGTTTGTATTATGAACCTGCATTGTTTGTTTGTGAGATTTTCGACGATATTGCTTGTGGTGATGCGGCGAAAACCCCCCAATTTTTTTTGCGCCTTCCATTAACCATCTCTCCCTGACTTCCTATTGGTTCTCTCCCCAAATTCTGGTCTAGGCTTCTGATTGCATTTCTTGACAGACGTTTGTCGACTCGTGATTGAACTGAAGCGCAATACTGTGGGTTGCCATGAATACCTTGTCTTGTTTGAGCAGGCTAAAGGAGAAGTATGACCCTACTGTTCTGGAGGCGTTTGTGCAAAGGTACGTTCTGTGTGATAGCGCCAGAGTCTGTGAACCATCCGTGTGCTACGGCATGCCGGTCACGGATTTTAGTCAGTTCAGTTCTGCACTGTGATGGTCAAACTTGCCAAGCACATGCTTGCAAATTACACTAAGCAGAAGTAATAACAGTATGATAAGTGGAATGCATGTTGACTCGGTTGGGTATTCTGCCCTGTTTTGTGGCTGGCATCTGATTCTTCTGGGGAGCACCTCAGTCTGCGTTTCAACAACGGGGTTCTTTTGATGCGTAGGAAGTTACTCGGGCGCTTGGTCTCGGGCACTTGGTTTCTGTTAGGTGCTGTTGCACTCTTTGGGAGGTTGGGGAACAGTGCTTTCGTTCCTCGGTGCAGTGGTGAAGGGTGGCAGAGGGTGGTTGGGAGCGCACTTTGGGAATAGGCTTCTCCTCCTCAAGGTGGTGGTGGTCGTTTATTTTTGTGTTTTTGTGAGAAAAATGGAAGGCCGGTGAGTTCGATGATGGTATCTCAAGGTTGTTGCCCTTTGGAAAAAAGGTAAAGCAAGGTGTTTGTGGACAATCACTTTGTGAATCAGGTTTCCTTTCCTTGCTGAATGTGGTGGCGGTTGGTTGTTGTTGTTGAGAATCTGTTCTCGTTCTTCGATGTTAGCGGCTTATGTAATTTTGCTTTCCTACCGTCTTCACCCGAATAGAATGCCCGGTAATTATTGCCGTTCCTGGACTGAAAGTTGCACCATATACAGCTATAATGACGGGCGTTCTATTCGGGTGAACACAGTAGTAGGAAGTTATTGAATGGGTGCAGGTGCTTATGTCTACGGCATTGTTGACGCTTGTGTTCCATTTGCAGATCATGTGCCACATGGGCAATGCTTTTTCTTTAACTACTATCTGTTTGTTTACCTTGCAGACGAAATGAAAATGCGCAGACCGCATCCAAGGAGTTCGTATCAGAGTTTGAGGCTGGTGCCCTGGACACGTAAGTTGTTTCCTGTTGTTTGTGTTGCTGGGATGCATTGTTCATTTTAAACAGCATTTTGGCGTTTTTAAATTTGAGGGTTTGCTTGCATCAGGTTTCAGGTTTTTTCTATTTCACTCCCTTTCTTAGGGTTCTTTTCACCTTTCCATCACGGTACTTGCACACTATCGGTCACGGCACGAGTGTCCGTCTGTCTTCTTGAAATGAAAACCATTGGACAAAATAGACAGGGCTATCACCTTCTTTCCAATATTTTCTAATTTGCCCCGTGCTGAACGGTCTGACAGAGATTTTTTTTTAAATCCAAATTCGGTTTCTGGAAATTGTCTGCTTTTTCGGAGTGTGGCACAGTGTAGTAGTGTATGCTTATTTGTCCGTGCCATGCATGTGATGATGCTTATTGCCAGTTGAACGGTATTCTAGATGAGAACTGTATGTGAGGTGCTGGTACCTCAGGCAGTTTTGTCAACGAGTGCAGGATGAGATCTATAACGAATCCACAGTCGATGGGCTGAATGTCGTAATGCTCGTTAGTCTTCAAACCCCAAAACTCTGAAGGGTTTCAGGGGCACAGTTTGGTTTGAACGGGGTTTGATCTGGGATTAAAGGTTGGATTAGAAATGAAAACATGTATCTTTCATGCACACGGTGGGTGCGCCTCTGCTGTCAATTCTGTGGTAGCGAAAGCATGCTTACGTCTCCTACCAGCATATTCTCCTTTTGATAATCACGGACGTCTGAGGTCTGTCTAACGATCAGTCTCGTCGTAACATTAATGTGTGTGTGTGTGTGTGTGTGTGTGTGTGTGTGTGTGTGTGTGTGATCATTGCAGGGGACCCCAAGTAAGTGGCAGGCAGATAGCTGTCGGGAATGGAAGCACGATGGTGGACGGTGGGTTGGAAGGGGAGCCGTTCTCGGATGATGAAAGCGAGTTGGCGGTAAAGCACAGAAAGCGGGCTCGAGAACTGAAGGGAGCTGCAAATGCTCCCGTTGTGGCGGCCGGCTTTGCGGACCCAGCGAGGGTAGCAGCTGATGTGGAGCAGACTTTTAGTTTAGTAAAAAAGCTGGATGCGGAGAAGGGGATTTCTGGGAACACGGTGTTTGACAGCTGTGTAAAGATTTCTAATGGCAAGCAGCCACGGGATGGGAACGGGGATGGAAGTGGGGACATGGATGAGGATAATGCATCTGGACCGCGATTGCAGGGTCTGTCACTGCTTGATGCTCTGCTCACTTACTTATGGAGGGTACATGGGGTGGATTATTATGGGGCACATGAGCAGCGTGGGCCTCCCAAAGGCCTCCGGCATGTCCGTGCGGAATCGAGCTCAAAGGACAAGCACATGGACCAGGCAACACCGATGGTAGAGTTTTCCGAGTGGGAGAGAAAGGTAGATTCTACGTGGCAAGCCAGACTCCAAGCAGTGGATCCGCTGATCGTGATGCTGGGAAAGGAGAAGATCGAAAAGGCGTTGACTGAAGCGCTTGAGGCGTACATCCGAAAGATCAGGGATGAGAAGTATGGTTGGAAATATGGTTGTGGAGCAAAGAACTGTACAAAGCTGTTTCATGGTCCAGAGTATGTGCAAAAGCACTTAAAGCTGAAGCACCCGGACCTTGTGAGCGAGCTCACAGCTCCCGTCCGAGAAGAAGTCTACTTCCAGAACTACATGAAGTGAGTACCTGTCTCTTTGCCTTAGAATGGTGGCACGTTATCCATCCATCAACCAACCAAATAACATCTAATTTCGGAGGAGGGGAAAGAAAAGGGGGGCACAAAAGAAAGAAAGAAAAAATCTGTTTTCTATAGGGCTTCAGTTCTGTTAGGAGTCCAGGGGTGACCTACAGCCAAAAGTTCTTTGTATTGTCATTATCTAGAACATAGTTTTTTTTTTTTCCCTTCCAGATTTTTCTAGTTTTTTTTTTTTCCCTTCCAGATTTTTCTGTAATCTGGGGCAGTTTCCTCCGGAATTATACGCCCAGATTTCTGTAATCTGGGCAGTTCCCTCCGGAATGATAAGCCCAGATGAAAGAGAAAAGGTTAATCGACCCCCCATTTTTCACCTCAATTTATAAGAAAACCATAAGGCCATCCCAAGCAAACTTCACACCAATCTATAGAGTGCACTTCTTACTAACATATTATAAAAAAAACACAAAAAAAAATTAAAAACACATTAAACAGCAACTCAAAAGTGCATTTTCAGGCAGTTTTGCCAAAAAACAACTTCATCAAAATTTCAGGATTTTCAGGATGATTAACAGCACAAATTCTAATAACCGAAATGACACCAAATTTGACACACAGCAAGCTTGTCCTAAAACAAAAACAGGCAAAAAAAAAAAATCCAAAAAAACACAAAATTTGACCCCGAAACCCTAATTTCAGGATCATTCATCGTTACCCAGGGCCGAAAAGTGGGGGTCCCCGTTAACCACTTGTGAGATGAAAAGGGCTGGCCTGTCATCGGACTATGATATTCTGGACTATAATGTCTATAACGACGACCGGTAATGCTGCCAATTTTATTTTGTAATTGTTGTGTATGCTCTGTGTGAAATGGATGTGGCAGCAATGTAGTTAATGTCTGTGCCCAAGGCTGCAGTGTAATAATCTGGGGGGGGGGGGGGGGTTTCCTCCAGAATGATAAAAGCCCAGATGTAATGGGCTGGCATTAATGTCTGCGCCCTAGGCTTCAGTGTAATAATCTGGGGGGGGGGGGGGGATTCCTCATAACCCCTAATGAAATGGGCTGGCCTAACATCCGACTGTGATTTACTTACGGACTATAATATCTATAACGACCTGTAATGCTGTCAAATTAATCTGCAATTGTTATGTATGCTTCGCGTGAAATGAATGCGGCAGCGATGTAGTTATTGTGTGTGCTTGGAAGGCTGCAGTGTATGCTACATGTCGTCTATCTTGTTTCTTCATGGCTTGATAAATGTTGGTAGTATTGTGAAGTCATCATGGAGTTTTTCCTGCTTCTAGTGTTGCTGACTTAAGCCCCTGCTGCGCTTGGTTTTGACAGTGATCCAGATGCTCCTGTGCACCAAGGGTTATCGCCGCGCTTGAAGGTAAATGGGTTGTGTTGCTTGCATTTGGATTCACAAACGCCGTAGTGAATGCTGTGCTTCAAAATGGGATGGGGGTGCCAGTGAGTCTTGTCAGTATGTGCTGTAGTCAGCTCATGCTAGGACGGTGTTTCAGTTGCAAGGTCTTCAGTGTGCTGGATGGCTATCATAATCTGATGTCCCACATGCGTTGTGGCAGACTGACTTCATTTTGATTGAACACCCATGAACTGGTATTGGTCTGTTACTTGTATGTTTGGCCATGGGCAAATTGTGCGTTGCAGTATCGTTTCCAAAACTGAAAGCTTAGGCTATACTCTGAGGGACTGAATTTGGCTGTGATTGTGGTTCAATATATAGATCCCTGAAAGTCCTAATGTGACTATGTGCCTCTAGTAGACCCCCGTCTGCCCCAGAGGTAATGTTGGTCTTTGCATGTTTCTCTCAGTTTTTTTTGTCACTGACACGGGAGAGAGGAGAATTCATAGTGGCGGCCCATGCCAACAATCCACAGCTGGCCAAATGGACGGAAGTGCATGTATTAATGGGGTTTAGCAGCACCTATAGGTGGGAAGCCTTCTACAAAAAAAAAAGAACATTTGCTGAAATGAGGCTGCAGATGTATATAGTTCATTCTGTTCTGAATTACAGCTCTATTTAGAGTTACATTAGCTACAATTAGAGACTCCTTTGGTGATTAACTGCAAGCCAGTGAGTTATTCGCATAGCAGGCACGTGTTATTTGTGTGAGATCTTTATGCTGATCCCTCCTGGCAGGTGTTCAATTGGTCCCTCTGGCCCTGGGTAAGTTCGACATGGTTGCATGTGTATGCCATTGATGTTCCCCTGCTTGTGTTCTTGCCACTATGGCTTACATGATGTGTCTGTGCCCTGCGTATTGTATGGTTTTCTCTGTTGGCTCTTGGGATCCCAGAAAGAGAAAAGTGGGCGGCGGCGTAGAACACGCAGTGAAGGTGCTGGTGGCGGCAGTGGCTCGGAACGCCGTGAGAGTGAGCGAAGCAGTGCTGGTAGGGTTAGAGAATCAGACAGGTATAATGGGGATATACGAGGTGAGCGCGACCGAGGAAGCGATGGGCATGGGGAACGAGATATGGGCTATGCTCCACCTCCCCCCCTTCTCGAGTGCCCAGCTCCGTTCGATGGTCCTGGGTCATATGATGGTGGTCCTCCTTTTGAAGATGGCATGGACGGTATGGTGTACGATTTCAATGGACGCCCAGGGAACATGTCAGGGCCTCCCCCGCTCGGGCCTCACATGCCGCCTCCGCCCCCAGTTCTCATGCCACTTCCTGGAGCTGGGTAAGTGCATCTTTGCAAATTTCCAGTTTTTGTTTTGCTGATCGATTTTTTGCAATGAACCAGCTCAAATTTCATTCCAATCTCAATCCTGCATGTGCTTAGTTAACACAGATCACTCAAACAAGGCAGCGAGATTAGCAATTACCCAGAAGCTGCAATGATAGCTCCATAAACAGCAATATTATCCAAGTTCATAGTACATGCGGCTATGGCCGCCAAGTCGTCACCCTCACTCAGGCTTGTGAACACTCCCCCTCTCTCTTCCTCTCTGCCCCTCTTGTTTCTCTCTCTCTCTCCTCACTTGGCTAACTCACTCTCACTCTCTGAATGTACTTGCCTGTCTCACTATGGTGGTCGTCGTCTTCCTTGCTCACCCCAGCTATGGCACCCAAGCACCGGCTTCTTCCTCGATCTCCCCGACCAGTGCACCTGTATGGTCGCACAAGCGTTCAGCAGAGCTTCTGCAACACGCGAATTTTCAAGCGAGTTCTTAAACCACCAGTACTTGGCCCAGCTATCGGCCACGGGCCGTAGCCGTTTACGCGCTGCTAGTGACACGCTTCTTGGGGTACTGGACCACAAAGGCTGGAGGCACCAGCCAAAAAAAGAACAAAAAAAAGATGGTGCGCTGGCGATTCGGCCAAACTTGGTGCGACGGCATCGATAACTGGGCCAAGTACTGGTGGTTTAAGAGCACCGGACTTTCTCGGGATTCTGCTGCCAAAATTAGACCAGGACTTGGACGTCTCTTGTTGGGTACTGGGCCTACCAGACTTCTAACGACCCTAAACTCTCTGTCTGTCTGGTGGACTCGACCGGCCTCCTTGACCCAAGCATGGCACTTCGCTTGCCGGGCCTGCGGAATCAATCCTGTGGGACTGGGACCCGAACTCGGGACACTGACAGTGGCGTGGAATTCTTTCATTTTAATAAATTGATGAAAACAAAACTCTATATTCAGAGCAAAACAGAACATATTGAAAAAGGATTTCTGTGGATTGACGATGTTTGAAGAATCTTTTGTACGTCACTTGAAGAACCTGAAAACGCATTGGACGTCGTGTTTGATATTGGAAGAGAGTTGCCTAGAACACTGGAACTGACCCTGGAGACCGACGAGCATGCCGAGCCTAGGCTTGAATGAAGGTTGTTGTAAGGGCATCCATCTATGCCATTCTATGGGGATATGCTTCCGACCTGGTAGCATTGATGATGTAACCTTGTTCTGATGCAGGTGCAGTCATGGGAGGTGGGCTCGAGGTCTTCTCAAACCATTTCATGTTCCTCTGGAGGTTGTCTGCTTTGCTGTCTGGTTGATTCGATAGCTTCCCCATTGGCACTCGCCGCCCCAATCCAACAACTCTCCCAGCAATGTCTAGCAGTTACTCCTATCGCCGACGAATCTAAAATGGACCTGATCCTGGTGTCTGAATGGTACAGAAAAAGAACTCTGTTGATGATAAACTTCATAAAGAGATCCAGTGTTGGAATCCTGTTGTAGAGTCGGTGTAGACAAACTGAACCTGGTGTGTTCATTGTGATTGTGGTTGTGGTGATGTTGGAGTAGAGGTGGGTTGGGGGATATCTTGTTGCTGTTGCCAGTGGTCGTGTTTGGGTGTTCTGTTTGGTTTTTATTTTGGTTTTTAAATTTTAATTTAAATTTGTGGGATTTTCCACTGACTCGCTCGCTCGTTTCTGTCCGAATGTTGTTCTGATGACTGACGAGGGTGGGACCTGGCGTCCCCCCGGTGTTTTTCTGTCGTTTTCTGGTTAAAACGCTGCGCACCTCTGGGCTCTAACAACAAGAATTGTGCCAATTTGTGGTTGGGTGACATCTGCAGACCACTGGGGCCATTTGTCCCAGCTCCACCGGAGGTCACAATGCGAATGCTTGGGCAAGGCCAACCACCTTCTGGGGCATTTCATCCGGGGGTGATGTTTGATGGGAATGGAGGAATGAGAGGGTCGCACAGAACTGGGAGAATGAAGCGAGTAGGCCGGCCCTGGCCTATGAGGGGCATGGGAATGGGACCGCCATTACTTGGACCTCTGCCACATATGCTCAGAGAGGACCCGAGACCGAGGAGGAGGTGAGGATCTGTCTTCCCAAGTAACTCCAGTTGGATTGGCTTTGCTGGTTTCTACTTATTGTGACTGATATTGATGTGATTTCAGTTCTTTGGACTGTCAAGCGGGTTTTTGAGCAGATGGTGCTGTTTGGTTTCGTGTCTGTCTATGGCTAGAAAAATGAATATCGACCTTTCTGTATGTGTTCTTTGCCTTCAAGACTGATGTCGCAACGAACAAACGACATTGCCCTGCACCTCTGACATTGTTATTTATTTTTTTTATTTTTTTTTCAAAGGGGGTTAGAGACTATACTTGAGCCGGGCTGCCCGGGTGACCTTGTTTTCCCGCGCGGCCCGTCCTTGCAAGGGCCAAAGTAGGTCCCAGCAAAAAAAATCGAGAAAATCTGCAGAAAAACTACATTATGCACAAAAATAAACTGAACAACTTTGGCCTCAGGGTCACATTGAAATTCTTTACCAAAACAAAAATAAAAAATAAAGTTAAAAACTATTTTTCAAAAGTTTTAACTTTTTTTTTTTTTTTGGCCCGGCCGGGCAGGTGGTCCCGGGCCGCTCTGGTAGCCTAGCTATGTTGTTATATTCACACGGATTTGAACCTGTGTCCACTATGGACCTGGACACCAGACATCTGATGCTCTGGACTAGATTCTGGTCTCTATGCGAGGCTACAGCCTCTGGGTCTGGTCGCTAACAGGCTATACTACCGCAATGAACGTGCCTACCACACCTCCTGAAATCTTCTGTGCCATGGAGGATTCAAGCTACTAGAAGTTTTTTTTTGACTTTGTTTTGAGCCATTGCAGCTACAATGCTCCTAATATACATAGATGTGGCTAGGCCCTTATATCCTGAATGGAGCCATTTGAATTTTGAATGGGTTAGTCTTGGACTGTAACTGAGTGGCTGGCACGCTGAACCGCCACCAGTACCTAGGGCTACTTTTTTCCCTACCCTCCGTGACCGGTTTGCCTAGCCTGCCAGTACCAGTAGCAGGACGGGCCGAGGCTGGGGGGACCAGTAGCCAAAAAAAAAAAAAAAGAAAAAAAAAGAGCAACATCTCTAGGGACGTGAATGTAGTTTGATACATTCTCTGAAGTGCGAATGTGAGCATGCACTCTGTATTGGCGTATCAGCCCCATGGCTTTAGTGTCAGAATCTAGGCTACCAGGTGTCCGATAGCTGGTTGTCCTGGCCGGACGTCCTGTCTGGGATTCCGGACAACTCGTTTTTTTTTTTAATTTGCGAGGCAAAGAAAAAAAGGCCTGTGCTGCGCACCACCAGGGGACCCCCTAGAACAAACTTGAGGCCATTCGGAGCAAAAAAAAAAAAAAAAAGGAAAACGGTGTTGGGTGTGTGTGGGGGGGGATGGTGTGGAAAGCCCGCCGCTGCAGCTGCTGCATATGTCCAGACAGCGTACACACAAACGCACATACACGCTATCCACACACACTCCACACACACAATATCTACACGCACACACACATACACACGTCATTCTTCCATACTGATGACATGTCAGCAACATGCCATGTGTCGACAGTGCTTCCAGGAAGCAGTCATAGAAAGTATGTGTCTTTACTGCGTGGACTATCCCCGGTGCCATCACCCACCACATCCTCTCCTAGCATGTCCCACATGCGGTGTTGGTCATACACCTACGGCAACCGCAGAGGGTTCTTCCTCTTCCTTGCCAGACGTGCGACACACGCAGCAGCCCGAGGAGGAAAATGGGCCTCTATATGAACCAGCTTCAGAGCGGGGTACTGATCGCTTATCACCATCAAGGCGAGCTGTTGTGGACCAAATCCTGCAGCAGCTGAACGCCCTTGCTTTGGACCGACCCTCCCTGTCGTCGTCTGCCCATACAGAAGGAATAAATACTGAGGAAACCCAGGAAACATGCTCTATGCCGCTATGTGATGACCCGCCGGAGATTCGACTTGCATGTGATTCACATGCTTTGTGCGGTGAGGATTATGAAGGAATAGTCCATGCGAGTTTCTTCTTTCATACCTACGACGACAGTCAGCACTGTACTCATGTACGGCACCCTGACATGTCATGTCCAATTTGTAGACAGGGGCTAGAACGGCAGTGCCTCTATAATTGTGGTCGACGTGCCTCCGTGTTCCTAGCATGTAGGAGCCACGTTGCCTGTGACATCTGTCTGCGCCGTGCCATTCGATGCAGCAACTGTGACTGCGAAAACTGGATGCGGTGCTTCCACAGTCCACACCCGAACCGGTCCTGTCCGGTCTGTAGGGATGGTCACTTACCATAGGCAATAACT